AAAAAAAATAAACTGATTTTGAAAGTGATCTGGCATAATATTAACACAAAACTGTGACAATAAATTCTTTTGCATCAATGGTACTACTAACCGAAATCTGAAGCTATTAAAGTTCATCCATTTTCACTTTTTGAATTGTGATTTAATGGCACGCCTTTTCCGCCCTCCGCCCACAGTATCAGCCTCCTCCATTATAACTTAGCACTTGAGATGTGAGCCACCTGCAGGATGTGAGAGGGGCCACAAGTGGTGCTCCACACAGATCAGGCCCGTGAGAGCGTCCACTCAAGCACCTCTGTTTCCTGATGGATTTCGTAAGCCTCTGGACTTATCCTTTAACAGGGCCCTGGCTCTATTCAGATCCTCCACTAACCCATCCCACTTAAAGACACCTTCTACTGCCGAGTTTCACATGACATCACAGCACAGGGCCTGGAGAGCCAAGTTAAGATGGGGGCAGGTATAATGACTATTGTTAATATGCAGATTATGAGGAGTGGCTGCATGATAATCAGATTTCAACTCTGTGAATCATTTTTTGTCATTAAAATACAATAGAATTCAAGGATCAGTAGTCTGCAGTTCACTCTTTGGCATTGGGTACAACAAGGCAACTGCTACAATTAAGGACTATTAATCTTATTATTTTTAGTTTTCAATATATTTCAATATTTTATAGTCTGGCACTTCTAATAACCATAATGAAGCATGAGCAAGACAATTTTTTTTTTAAGAACAATTTAGGCTTCGTAGGTACTAAACTAAAGACTTTTTTTTTTTTTTTTTTGAGCTTCCTCCCATGTTATAATGTTGCTCCTTCTTCAAAAACACGCCTGAAGAGGTTTTAGATGTCATCCATGCATGTTTGAGTACTTTAGCGATCTCTCACGGGCTCTTTTCAAACCCTCCTTATGGTTAGCTGTACGTTTCTGTGCAATGCTCAGACTGCAAGCCTACGTCATGCATGCAGTTCTCCATAAATATACAAAAGCATGATACAAAACTGTACACAACAACTTGACAAACCTGATCCGATGTGTAGCTTCATGAGCAAGATGCATGCCAATTATTATAATTTGTAATTTATTCAGTGCTTTTTTGTCCACATACATCATAATATACATGTTCTATTTTTTTTTCCCGCCCACACAAACTCCAAAAAAAAAAAAAGAAAAAAGGGGAGGCAGTCGGGTTACAAATTAATACAGTACATTTTAGAATATACAGTTGTACAGAGTACACATTTTCAGGATTTCAGTAGTTTTTTTAATTTTTTTATTCCCCTAAACAGAAAACCACTGAAATCCTTTACATTTTGCATTACAGTTACTCCTCCAAGATGCATGCCAATTGTGTAGTGATAGTGCTCTGAAGAGGGAATGATTAAACGCAGGGAGGAAAAGGGAGATACTCAAAACCGAAAGTGAACTTTATAAAACATGTTAATACATAGTTTTTGCCAAACATAGCATTTTCAAAACAATTATAAAGTAACACAGTGATCTAAATATGTTATGTGTTAGCAGTTAATACCCCAAAAAGTAAAATACACCCTCTTTGATTAATACCCTAACTCCGAATCATAACTCCTTATATTACTAAGCCTAAATCATTCTTAATATACTAGTTCATAATGAATGAGGTCTTTGTTCATGCTTTATTAAGACTAAATAAGGTGTAGTTATCAAAAAAACTGAAGAAATTGAAAAAACTCTAGCAATAAAAATATGTGACATTTACAAATTACTCAAGTACTAATTGACTAGCTAAATAATAACCACAATTGAAAAGAGGCTACACATTTGTATTGATTTACAAATTGTCAAAATAAAGCAGTCCTCAGCTGAGACAAAATACAAAACTCCATCTTAAGAAAAACAAATAAAGGCCTAAAGCGGAGGAACTATAAACAGTGCCCCGGAGAAAAGGGGGGAACCACTCTAACAATTCGTGGCATGTTGTATTTTCAATCTTTTCTCGGCTTCACACAAAGACAAGTGTCAAACGACTGTAGACATGAACAGGGGATGACAGAGGAGGAGGTGAGACTGAGATGATTGTGAGGGAATTTTCCATTTGCCCTTAAAGTCTGTCACAAGTCAATACATACAAGCATTCTCAAATATTTGAAATACTTTATAAAGGCTTCTGAAGTTTTGATTTAGTGTAGCAATTTATATGTTTGAGAGTTAAGTTACACATCTATTTCATACTTCATCAGTCATCCAGTTGACGGAACTGATTTGGTTTAGTTTAGCAAAAAATGTTAAATTCTAGACAACAATGTATTTTTAAAGTATCCTGATACTATATTATGTCAGAGCAACAAAAAATGTGTTAAAGGTGCATTGTGTAAGTTTTCTGGTTGTGTCTGGAATGTTCCACAGTATGGCATTAAATAATGATGTAACAATAAACGAAATATCGTTATATAGTATCGTCAAAAGTCTAACAATAATACCGTGGGGTGTCTCAATATATCAAATCACAAGTTCCTTTGCTTAAATGCATTGTTTTAGTAGGAGCAACAGGTTATGAACATAGGGAACTGCATATCCCATGATTCATTGCAGTGCAGACAACATGAAAATTTTTTTTTTACTTGAATTCTTGGGATTATGGTGGAAATTATCCACACCAAAATATTGTCAATGTATTTTAAAAGCAAAAATGTGTCCTATCTACAACTATATTAGCCTCTCCAAAATATCGCAACAAATATCGTACTGTGAGATGTATATCATGATAATATCGTACTGAGAGATTTGGATATGGTTACATCCCTAGAATTAAACCTATTTATCTTCATGGAGACCAAACAGATTCTCCATGAAGTCAGATTTTGAGGAGAGGTGACACAGCTCACAGTCAGAATGCCTGTTTCTTTAGGTGTTTTATAAAACCAACTGCAACTAAGTAAATGTAAGGTAATGTTTAATGTCATACTGCGGAAAATTTCAGGCAGAGCAATCACCTATCCAACCAACCAAATCATAAAGTTACATAGTGCACCATTAAAACAGGCATTAGTTTAAGTATGTGAAATAACTGTTGTAAACCTGCAAATGTATAGAAATGTCACTTTATTCCCTTTAGTTTTTTTCCATTTAAATTTTAAATAACCTCTTTTTTCAGTACATTATCTACTTTTCAATCATCTGCCCATCTCTAATTTACTGTGTCACATGTGTAAAACATATACAAATGTTCAAAAAACTGTATACTGCCTTAAACAGTGTTCAAACTCCAAAGAAAAGAAAGGAGAAAGCATTTCGGTTGCTTGACAGTGTAGACTCTGGGATATTCAAACAAACTCCCGCTCGGACACCAGGGGAACGGCGCAGACAAAACCAACTATTTTGGGGGCTGTCCTTCTCGCTGTGTGTGTGACCACCTGTTAGCCCAGTCCCCCCACACAATGATACACCCTTTAGCAATGCAGCTTGGTATTTCACAGGGCAAACTAGAATCACTGTGGACACACTGATTGGCTAAAGATACACAATACAGCGGTTACTGCAGAGAAAAGAACAAGAGGTCGTTTTGCTACTCAAACAAGCTAAAACAAAGGGCGGGTAATGGAGAAGGTGTGTTTGCATTCAGAAATACTTGGACCTCAATGCTGATCCTTATAGGTCTGAAGATGTCCCTGCAGCCTGAGGGACAGAGCCGGTCCACCCACCATTCACCAGCACAGCGCCCTCTGCCAAATGAGCTTGTCCCCATCATGTCATCCTTCTGCCCCATTAAGCGCCATTATTAAGGAATCAATGAAAACACAAGGAAATCAGGCAGTGGGCTAAGCTGCTACTAATGAATACATGTTGGGGGGAAAGGGGATTTGCTATAAGGTTCTAAATTGACTTTTAATTAGGCCTATCGCGATAATACATTTTAAAGTGTGATTTAATGCTGAAGAAAATATAGACAAAAATATAGATAAACAACAATATTGAAACTAACCTCTGCCACTGACACAGTAACTCCAGTGCCTTAAAAGTGCACAGTGCAATTTTTCTGATGGAGAGTCCACCACCTGCTTGTCTCTATGGATATATTACTATTTTCCCTTGATTATTCTACAGTATGAAAATAAACTTGATAATCACAATGGAGACAGGTTAATGGTCAGATCTATGGAGAAGCGAGCCTGCACATGGTAAGAATTCATATTTTATTAGCGATAAATATTAATATAATATTAATATTTTGCTATAAAACAGCCATAACTGAAGAAATGTAAGGGAGATATGTTTAATGTTCAACTGTGGAACATTCCCGGCAAAGAAATAACATCTCCATGCAGACAAGCAAGTAGCGGACCCTCCACCATAGAAGTTACACAATGCACCTTTAAGGCAAAGGAGGAATTCCAAAATAAGATTCTACCTCAACGACAGGGAATGCACAATGCACCTTTAACTAATAGCTAAATGTACAATATTGTTAAAAAACCTCCAATAAATAACAGAATGTATCTATAATGAGTCA